ACAAGCGAGCATCTGATTAGATAAATAAATAAGCAATACAGTGAAAATACATATTACCAAAGAAGATATTTTGTGGAAGTACAACATCGAAATGTTCTGATAGATTTTAACAAAATAAATAAATAAAGTCTAATAATTGTCTCATCAGATGGCATAATAGACTAACAAAATATACTCATTTGTAAACTACAGGAATACCTCAATTATTGCGGTTTATAATCTGATGTTAAATTTCCAGTTAATGCATTCCAAAGTTGAATTATCGCGGTTATGAAAGAAGTAGCCGACTACATATGCAATCATAATTATATTGAGTCCGTACTCTCCAGATAGTATTTCGTTTTTATCCGATGGCACCTGCTCACCACTCATTCCTAAGTGTCAACCTTTGCCGAAAGTACATGTGGATATCTATTTCTCACAATTAATGTGAAAACAAAATAAGGATGATATCAAGTGTACAGTTATCTAAAAGAAATTTAGAATGATCATCTTAAACGCTAAATTAGGTATCTGAATAAATAAATGAAACAAGTGTCAAAATTGCTAAGGACTAGAGTAAAACTTCGGATCGCGAATGCCCTATTTCATAAACAATTCGGCTTATGAGCAAAAAACGCCTCGAATGGCGAACGGTGTCTTGAATTATGAACACTCGAGTATGATTTTCGAGAGTGTTTTGAGGTAACATGTGCCACATAATTAATACTCAGGATTTTTTTTCTGGAAATGCAATTTTAGTAATATTTTTCATTGCTTAGCTCTCATTAACAAAGCCTGACAGCAAGTAACTTACAGGAACAGGAGTTCTGCATACAAGAAGAGCTAAAAGTTAACAATGAAGAAGCGGAGACGTTACTAGAACATCATAAAAATGAGCTCAGCATGAAAGAACTGCAACTCAAGAAGCAATAAAAGCCGATTCTGGAAGAAAAGTATTCAGAAGAAGAAAGAAAAATGACTACAGTTCCTTAAGCTGCGAAATTTGTGGAAATTAAGGTATGATACAAAGTTTTCATGCAAAGATTTCACTCTCGTAAAACAGTAGCAAGCTACATCACAAGCATTCTCAATGGCAATGTCATGTCTCAGTTTAAAAACATTTTAAAACAGAGGCAATAGCAAACCATATTGGGCAGATTTGGAGTAAAACAGACACCCGTGAGTCTCAAGCAAAGTGACGTTTAGAGACAAACAAAAAAAAAAAAAAAAAAAAGTTAAAAGAAGATGCTTCCTAAAGAATGGAAGGGAATTTCACATCCAAACAATAACAGCTAACGGCATAAGTGGAAAATATCTCATCATTTTCTATATATGCTGTCAACTGTGCTTGGTACAGATAATACAGTAAACGTTATTTATTAAGATTTGTTTTTTTTCTGTTTGATTTGTTTAATAATGTATTTATCTGTTTTGTTTTATAACCAATGATTTTCAGTGATTTTTGGGTTACGATCTTGTGCGCGGAGTACTCTTATAAAGTTTAAATGAGCAGTCATTTGCAGTCCGAGAACAAATTAATCCATTTTACATTAATTCGTGTGGCGAAAATTGGTTCGATTTACAAACATTTTGGTTCACGAATAGCCTTCAGGAACTAATTAAATTCGTGAACCGAGTTTTCATTATATAGTCAAAATGAATGAACAGTTCGCTGTGTTTTAGATTATGCTGCAAATTATAAGCAACTAGGGCAAAGTGCATCGACCTTGCGTGGGTTTCGAGCTACGAGAAGCCATCTTATGATGGTAATGGGAACACTTTCCTATTATTCAAATAACTATAAAGATTAAAGCATTGTATGTGTTAAAATTTAAAAAAAAAAAAAAAAAAAAAAAAAAAAAAATTAGAAGACGAAAAGGATTTGACCTAAGTAGTGAAAGAAACATACTTCTCCAAATTCATGGTGGTTTCATCGGTTAGAAAAAGAAATCGAGTATTCATAGTTTTATGCAGAAGATGAAGTTGCTAATTCCGATAAAAAGAAGTAGCAGCTAATTTCTCTGGTGAATTGTAGCTGATCACGGAAGAAAGAAATTATACCGATAATCAAGTATTTAATGCCATAAAAACAAGCTTATTATGAAAAAAATGCCCAATGAAATATTTCTAGCAAAAAATAAAGATGTCACAATCTAGATACAAAATTTTGAAGGACCTATAGCTTTTTTACTGTCTTTGTGGCATTGCTTCTGGTGACTGTAAAATGAAGTCTTGCTTTACATATCATTCGCAAAATCCTCGCCCCTGTAGAAGTGTGGTTAAAAATGTTCTCCTGGCTCATTGGAAATCCAATAGAAAAATAAAAATATATATGAGGATTTCTTTAAAAGTTGTTTTTATTTTGAAGCTGAAAAGTACTGTACTTTATTAAATTTTGATTTTAAATACTTCTTGATATTACCACCTACTGATTCAACAATCTTGAATGATATGTACGAAAATGTAAAAGTTATTTTTTTACCACGTAATACTACTTCCGACATCCAGCCATTAGATCGAGGTATAATCGCTTCCTGCTAGGCACATTACCCGCGAAGAACATTTTCACAAGCAATAGGAAAGTTTACAGGAGATGAAAAATTATGGAAGGCATTCATTGTATTAGAAAATTATATTAAGAATGTCGAGGAAGCGTGCAATTAATTGACGTCTAGAAATCTGTGAGCGGCATGGTAAAAGATTATTCCTCGTTGTGCAAATGCTCTTAAAAGATTTAAAATGAAGTAGCCCATATTATCAATAACGTAACTAAGCTTGGTTCCGATCAGGACTAAAAGTTAAACTGAAAGAGATTATCAGTATTTGCTTCGGCCATATTGATGATGATGACCTAAATAACCTCAGAGAGAAAACGTGCTTACGGTGCTCAAATCGATGTAAATGGCGTGCAAATTGATGTGGCAACGAAAGGAATTTACTCTCAAAGAACGATCTAACCTCAAAGAAATGGACTAAATGTTAAAAATTGTTTAAAAAAATCTTCAAAAGCGATTAATAAAAATTCCGCAGAAAATTGAAAATTCCATCCATAGCTCCCGAATTTTATGCGAAGGAAACTTTCCAACAAACAACTCTACATCACTTTTTATTCAGTAACCAATAACTAGATGCATGTACTTTCTTCCTTTTTTAAAATAGTTAATAGATTTAAGAAATCTTTGACAGTGAATCACCAACTTTTCAGGCATTATTTATCCTGACTTAGGTAGTATTTGTTGTGGCAACGAAACTGCGATAATATAGGTACTATATGCCTTTTTGCATGAATCTATTTTCTTTGTAATAACGGGTTTTAACGAAAGTTTCCCGCCACCACAAATATCGTCTGCGCAAACAGTTCACAATGGCGTGTTTAATCACGATTTTGTCAAACGATTTTTGGCATTTGAAACAAAGAGACTTGTGTTGTTGTCACTGTGTTGTGAAATTTTGTAAAAAAAATATCGTTATCATTAAGTACGAGGCGTCTGAAATGAAACTATCACGCTACCAGATTAAAACCATCATTTACTTCAAGTTCTGTTGCAAAAAGTCAGCTACAGAATGTCACCAGATCATGTGTAGAGCTTTAGGTACTAATGTTGTATCATAATGATACTATGAAGGTTTGGTACCGAAAGTTAAAAAATAAGGACTATGACATTCAAGAAGCACAGGGCTGTCTAGCCGGCCTACTGATGTTGATTAGGCTCGCCTGTGAGAATTTGTGGAAGAAATTAATATGCAACCACTCGAGAGCTTGCTAAGGAATTAGACGTTAGTGCCATGTCCATTAGTCGCGCTATACATGTTCATGCCAGCATTTTTATCATTCATGCAAATTTATGGTTTTTTTTCTTTATGTTCTTTCGTCATGGTGTAGCAGTTTTAATGCTTGGCAATGTAACTTCAAAGTAATGAAAGAATTTCTTTCTTTTTTTTTTTTTTTTTTTTTTTTTTTTTGTGACACCAGAAAAGTAAAATATCATATGTGAAAAATATCAGAAGTCAGTGAAATAGCAGAAAAGTAGAATAAATACCAGAATAGTAGAGCAAATATCAAAAAAGTAGTGTAAATATCAGAATAGTAGAGCAAATATGAGAAAAGTAGTGTAAATATCAGAAAAGTAAAACATATCTCATTTGTGACACCAGAAAAGTAAAATATCATAATATATAATGTGCGTATGTGTGTATTTGCAAAATTTCCCCACAACCGGTTCTGAAATTTTCTCATCTTATAATTTTGTTTGTTATAACACTAAACTTAAATCACTAGTTTTTAAAATATTCTTTTAGATGCTAAAAGACATCGATTTGAAAGTTTTCAAAGATGTGAAATAAGTATGTTCCCCTTTGATGAGTTTCATAAAATCTTACCTTTGTTGTAGGTATTTTTTTTTTTTTTTTTAAATATTTATAAGTTTTTGTTCCAGTCTTGTTTTGCAAATTATTTTTAAAAAATCACTGTGAATGATGTAAAAGATATTAAATTTGTTAACGTGTTGTTTCATAAAGGTTCCAAATTAAAAATCGAAAATTCTTCAAAAATCACCAACTTATCAATAAATGAATCTGACAAATTCGTAAAATTTCAAAATACGTTATTTCATTTCTACTAGTGCTATTTACAAGCTATAAATATCTATGTGCATATAATTATATATGCACATAGATATTTATAGCTATAGTACAATTTATAAGCTATAAATATCTATAATATCTATGTGCATAAAATTTCATTAACTAAGATATGATAAAATAATCATGCATACAAATGCACAACAAAAATACTCAAATTTACAGGATAAATTACAAAATAAACGTTCCAAATTAACAGTAATACAAACAAATATAAATGCATATTTACATTAATCTACAATAATTCAAACATTTAAAAAAAGGATGAGAAATATTTGCTTACTGTATGCAACATACATTACATTTCTGTTATACTTAATGTTTTTCTATTGTTGTAAAAACATATATTCTTATTTGCTGTTGGTATTTTATTTCAGGACAAGTTGGAGGTCAATGTTATCTTTCCTCATGAGTATCCAGCAAAAAAACCTCACATATGCGCCCGATCCACTGGTCTTAGCAGAGCTCGCCAAAAGGAATTGAATTCTGCAATTTCAGATTTCATTTCATCACAGCCGGAAGGTGATTTATGTATGATCACTTTCATCAACTGGGTGATAGAAAATGCAGCAAGCTTTTTTTCACCGCAGACGAGCGAACTAGATGCTGCAAAAAATCAGCGTGGAGAAAGGAATATATTTTGTAGAATGTGGATATACAGCCATCATATATTCAGTAAATTCAAAAGGCGAGAAATAGTTGATTGCGGCCAGGATTTAAACTTGACTGGTTTCTCTCTACCAGGTAAGCCTGGTTTCATCTGTATTGAAGGTACAAAAAGGGATTGTTACGAATTTCTTCAACATTTAAAACAGATGAGTTGGAAAAAGATATCTTTGATAAAAGAAGAAATTGAAGAGATAAGCGAATCTAGTTTAGATAGTGTCCGGAGGTTTGATGGGTTTCAAGAAATTAGTTTTCATGTCAGAAGAGGACCGGCAAAAGAATATCATATGGATATGGGAGAATTTCTAAAATATCTTGAATCTCATAACTGTGCATACGCTTTCCAAGACTTATTTGGCATAGAAGGTCGTGTATCAAATGAAAAATAATTGTAAATAATAAAACTGTTTATACGATTTCTCACTTCTTATTTATGTTAATTCTTGTAACTAATGATGTTGGTTAAAGTAAAATAAGAATCATTATATATGGGCAGGTCTTTTGAGTAGTGGCTTGTCAATGAATCGATTTGATTGTGCATAAAGTTCTGAATATATCATGCTATCTTATCGAGTTTTCATGATAATGTTATCTTTCAGATTAATAGGAGATTCATAAAAAGGAAACGAGTATTGAATGAAACGAGTAAATGAAGCGAAATGTATTGCAAATTCGTACCTCGTGAATACTTTTCTTATGCAAAGATGTTTTGAAGCAGTTTGTAACATAAAAATATTGGCAAATTATTGATAAATTAGCGCCCGCTGGTCAAATATCTCATTTACTTATTTGAGTGTCCAAAGTTGCTGAAAATAGTAGTTCTCGGTTCTATTCGCTTTGAATGGTGAAAGAGCTGGCTATACGATGTTTTCCTGATTTCCCACAGAAAAGATTCACAATGAAAATGTTCGCCCTTTGGTTTATTTGATTATGGCAAAGCATGGGAGGGTTGCCTAGGGAAGATGCTCCGTGGAGGACTTTTTTAGGGAAACTGCCTCCCATCCACGTCACATGGGAAAACCACGAAAACGTCCATGCAGCCAGCCCGTTCGCCTGGAATCGAACCCAGGAACCAGTATGTTTGCCTTTTGACAGAACCAGTATGTTTCACTTTTGACAGACAATTACTGCAGTACTCTTTACTCTTTAAATGAAAGCAATCCAATCGTCTAACTTATATCGTGTTTTATTTGTTATATTTTAGCGAATGTTAGGGTTTGCGAAAAAATAGAAGTGATTAGATTTAATTTGAGAGCTTAAGATATATAAATGTATTGTGTTTTACATACTGCACAATTATAATAAACAATAACTCTATTTGAAGCTATTAAACATAAGCTAGACACATATTGTTATTACTCGAACAATTCGTATGGTATGTTATTCGAACAGGTTTAATAAACAGTTAAGGTAAAAACGGAAAAAAAAAAAAGTATATACGTGAATAAAAATTTTAAGAAGGCCTCAGTTTTTATAAATTAATGAATGCCAGAAAAAGCGTTAAGAACAGAGTTGGAGTGCTGGAATAAAACTGTTGAATACTTTAATCGGAAATACGTGAAATTTCTCTAAAATTAAAAGTTTGAAGTTTGCAAAACAGTTTATTTCATTTGTTGATATATCTAGATAGGATATATTTATAATAAAGTTTTTATTGTGAGGGGACTGAGAGATTATGAGAACATTTACAAAACTCAAGAAGTCTAGTCTGGGTTGAAAAATAGAATTAAATTCCAGTTAATGCATTTGAGTTAACTAAATAGAAAGACAATTTTATGTCCTTTGCAGGAATTGAAAATTGAATAGCCAACCTATACCATAGTATGTAATCTCAAATGAATTCTTGAATAGGTTAGTGGACAGTCACTGTCGTAGCATATCTTTAGGCAATAGTGCAGCACAAATGATCCAATATGAACTACCCTTTCCACCTCGCTCTTTCAGCAACTCGTAGTCATTTTACTCTAAGCTACCAGCTGGCCCAGGAGAAATAGTGGCAAAAATTACATTTTTCAACAAAGGGGCACACTAGAAGTTTTGGTTAATAAAAGCGTAAATTTTATGGTAATTGGATAAAACGACTTATTTTTGCCGTTATATATGTACACGCCTCATTATAACAAGATTCAGATAAAAGCTGATGATTTTGGGATGACGAAAAAAATGTATTATGAGCATTTTACAACTTTTAGAATATTACTAACGAATCTAATGAAGTTAAAAAGAAGATTTAGAGCATGTTACAGACTGAAGTTGAATTTTATCTTCATATATACTGAAGTGCCAAGATGAGCCCACTCAAAATCTACTTGAGGGAGGGGGAAGGAACAACCATGAAAGCGTGCTTTATAGTAATTCTGTCAAGTGAAGTTCGATAAAATGTTGATAGTTGATTGCTCATTGTCAGTGTGTCGAATTAAGTCGAATGAGATTCAGCTTTGCTACACAGAAATATGCAAATTTTTGTGCTCGTTCTTTCGTCATGTGTAAAAGAGGAGTGCAAAGGAAATGGTTCAAATTCTAATCGTACTAGTAGGTGGACAACTGTTTCGCGTATGGAAGGTGGAACGTGTCGTTGAAAAAAGCATTTTACGAGTTCTGAAAAAGGCATACGATTGGGAGACTACGAGAAGCACAGGTTAATAGAGACCTACTTGTAGCCAGAAAGTCATGTCAAGAATCCGGAAACGGCTTCAAAACACTGGTATGTATGCGGACATGTAGATCAATGTCGAAAATGTGCCATAACAGACTTTTTTCAATGTCGTCATTTAACAGCAGTTAGCCCAAATTACAAGGGAGTACAATGATGCTATAAAAGCTCAAATGTCCAGATATATTGTGAATGATAGGCTGAATAAGAGAAGGTTGCGTGCAAAGAAATCAATGATTTCATTAAATCAGGTTATGAAATGCGCTAGGCTACAGTGATTATGATTGGAGAACACTGGAGCTGAATTCTCTTTACTAGTGAATCTCGTTTTTGTTTCGAAAGTAATTTAAGTCGTGTTACTATGTGGTACAGGTGATAAGCCTGAAAATATCCTTGAAAGGCATCAAAACATACAAAAGGTGGTGGAGTCGTGGTATAGGCGGGCGTAATTTTAACTGACCACACTAATCCGTACATTTTTACCAGTGCAATTATGAATGCTGAAATATACACAGATAAGGCTGTAGCAATTTCGAGGGCAGATCAGTTACATGCATCAAGAGACACTTCAAATATCGGAAGCAATCGCATAGATACATTTTTACGATGTTGGTACGATATTTCTCAGCTACGAAACAGATTCACGTTCGACCAAGGTCACTTATCTTCTTAAAGGAGGCTTCATAGCGCCACACATTCCATCGGGGCTAATGGGTGGTGATCCAAGAAACGCAAAAAACACCAAGCAGAAACAGAGCTAACGTTCGCTATTGCCTCAAGGTTTTGAATACTTATATCAACTTGTTTGTGGGTGCAATTTATAATAACCTTTCTTAATTTACGATAATGCTCGCTTCCTTGCGCTGCACTAGGGGTCGGATATCTTGAAGGCCAAAATCACTGCCGAGGATTCAGAGTGCTACTCACTTACCGTGAATACACTTTGCTACTGCTCCTTGACAGTATAATGCACAGCATGCAAAATTGCTATAAAGCTTGCATTTCAGTCAGGGTTGAACACGCCTTATTAATTTTTTCTATGTGTCTCTTAAAAGTCGTAATATCAATTTTTCCCGACACCATTTTGAAACGTCGAAAATAAGAAATAAAACTAACTAAATTAAATAAGAAATAAACTCAGATACTTTACAAAGAATAGTAAAGCTGAGATTGGCCTTTTAAACTCAACGTATGTAGTGAGCAGAATGCGGGAAACTACAACACGTCTTCGAGTATCAAAGGGGACTAAGTTCTGGCCTCAAAGGCAGACAGGAACTCACTGAAAAGCGCGCGGAAGCGAGGTAAGGTAGCTAGAAGTTTATTTCTCCCTCTTGGCTAAAAGCCACAGCTTAAATACTTAACAGTTTGCGTAACCAAATCTCTTCGCGTTTATTCTGGCCGGAAATGAAAAATAAGAGAGGATAGCAAAGTTTTAAAATAAAATAAACGTTAGTAAAACTTAAAATCCTTACAGTTGTTCCTTTAATTTTTTGTTTCCTTAACTGGACTCAGTAATCCGACTTATGCTCGTCACTTGTTGTGTCGATTAGTACGCACATAATGTGACAGACATGTGTGAAAACTTTGAAACTGCTTATCGCCCTAAAAGTGGCAAGAATTTAAAGAATTCATTTTTAATTTGTTCTAATCGTTGGAACTGAATGAGACGAGTAACAGCATTTCGAAGGTTAAGTTGGATTTTCATATATAATCATTCCAAGAGTGTACTGTGACCTCAAGAATTCCAGCAAATCTTTGAACTTAATAACAATATGGCCATAAAAAATTCTGGTTGAACATGGCTGATATCAGCTGGTAAGAATTATTTCATTTGATGCAAGTAAAATACTTATTCAAGTAACATTCGAATTCAGTGGAGACTTAATAAACATCAGCGTGACAATTAATGGGTTTTACAATCTGACAGGTAAATGAGTACCTGCAATGAATACAAGATAACAGAGCTAAACTTCTTATTTGGGCTGCGAACGAAAAACCTAGCCTAACCTCATTTCCAACTGTTTGGGACAAACTGAAGAATCTGTATGCTGAGAAAAACCCTATGAATCCCTGGATCTTACATACCAGCAGGGAACTGTAAGCAATGATGACTCCATAATGTTGTGAAATTTATTTAATTTGTATTCAGTTAAAACTTTGATACGTTCTACAAATATCTGTACCTAGCGAACGCTATTGTGAGCCCCATGCCTTTTCTAATGGAACGATGCGCAGCCATATGAGTTTAGAAATGCCAAGTAATAGTTAAAGCGACACTGATTTGAGTTTTGAGTATTATTCATAGCTGCCTGTATCACTAGACTTGTAGAAGATATCTGAGATGATATGCAACGCGCTGATAAACGCAAAAATCCAACGCTTCTGCATATAACGAAACTATTTTGGCCCATTCTTTAAGAATCATGGTATTCATTACCTATAGAATATTTCCATTAATCACGGAGTCTATTTTTGCAATTCTATGCTCCTATGAAGAAACCTCTAAATACTGGACTGATGTAACAGTGCCACTCCCAAATTTTAGTATGTGTGTATATAAGGATGTATCAAAGAGCAATTACAGATTTTATTTGGTTGCATAATTACCAAATACAAAAATGTCTGTTGCGTTTCTTCGTAGGAAAAGGGTAAAAGATTCCGTTCCTTCCAGCTGGAATTAATTTATGTTACATGAAGTTAATTCGTTTCTCACTGTTGGATCAATCAAATCGCACGCGATAACACTATGTACTAGTCTTGAACGCTTAGG